GGGTTGGGAGTGGGAGAGGAGGAGCCAGGACCCGGCGGCGGAGAGGTTGGCGCGTCCGGACGCGCCAGGGGCGCCGGCGGTGGGGAGGAGGCAGGAGGGTGGAGTCGGGGGCCGGGGGCTGCCGAATCTGCGGATGGGGGGCGGCGCCGGCGGCGACCTCAGTGCGCCCTCGGGCGGCGGAAGCCGGGCGCGCCCCTCTCCAGGCCGGGATCGGGGCGGAGCGCGCGACATCCCTGGGCGGGAGGGGGGGCGGTCATCCGGTCTCGCCGCCGCCAAAGTTTCCCGGTGGAGCAGCGGCCGCCCTTCCTGCCCCTCTCCAGGCCGGGATCGGGGCGGAGCGCGCGACATCCCTGCGCGTGGGCGGGAGGGGGGGCGGTCATCCGGTCTCGCCGCCGCCAAAGTTTCCCGGTGGAGCAGCGGCCGCCCTTCCTTCCCAGGTCCCGGGCGTGGGGGCGACCCTCGGGCGAGAACTGTTTCCGAGGGCAGCGGGGCCCCCCTCTTCAGCCAGACCCCGAGCCTCCATTGCGTCCAACTCGGATTCCCAACTTGGGAGGCGCCGCGGGCCTGCGCACGCGCGCCTTCCTCTCCTCCTCGTCCTCCTCCCACTGGAGAGCAGGCTCCGGGCCGAGCGGGCGCAGAGACCCGCACTCCGCGCGCTGACCCGTCTCCCGGTCCTCTGCTCCGCCCATGCCGACGCCGGTCGCCCGCCGGGTGCGCCCTCGCCCGAGGGCCAGCTAAACGCGGGCCGGCGGCGCGGCGCGAGGTGGGCCTGACCCGGCGCTGCCCTCGACAGCGGCAAGTTTGGGAGTTGCACTAGTTTGCGGGGTGGGAGAGAGACCGGGCGGGGGGGCGGGCCATGGAGGAGGACCGGGGGTCGGCGCTGGCGGCCGAGTCGGCGCTGGAGAAGAACGTGGCGGAGCTGACCGTCATGGACGTGTACGACATCGCGTCGCTGGTGGGCCACGAGTTCGAGCGGGTCATCGACCAGCACGGCTGCGAGGCCATCGCGCGCCTCATGCCCAAGGTCGTGCGCGTCCTGGAGATCCTGGAGGTGCTGGTCAGTCGCCACCACGTCGCACCTGAGCTGGACGAGTTGCGCCTCGAGCTGGACCGCCTGCGCCTCGAGAGGATGGACCGCATCGAGAAGGAGCGCAAGCACCAGAAGGTGGGCAGTGGCCTCAGTCAGCCCATCCAGGCAGTGGGGCCGCTGGGACTAGAGGGCCGGTCAGCATTGAGCACACGTGTGTATGCAGGGACTAGATTAGAGGCGACCCGACTGGAGGAGAGAGGGAGGGATGGAGGAAGGCCCTTGGCCCACTTTTGCTCAGCCATGAGCACCTGCCATGTACCAGCCCAGAGACTGAGCTGTCAGACCTGAGTTCCAGTTCCATCTCTACCATTTAATAGCTGTGTGACCTTGAGTGAGTTACTTAACCTCTCTGTGCTTTTATGTCCTCACATGTCAAATGGTGATAGTAATAGGACCCACCTTATAAGAATTAAATAGGATATTATCTAAACTGCTTAGATAATACTGCTTGTTTCCAGAAATGAAATAAGCTTTCTGCCCTGTATTGTTATCCAAGATATGATGCCAGGCCCCTTTTTTCACTGTACCTCAGAACCCCCCAGAGAGCACAGGTAATGTGACCTCCAGCCCCTGAGCTGTTGACCTGTCTCCAGGTTTCTATTTGCAGATTGCTTCCCAGGACTTCTTCTGGTTTATTAACCTGTGCCCTGAGGTGCTTTCACCTCCTTGATTTTATCTTTAATCCTCACAGGACTCTGTGAGGTAGGAATTATTATCTTCATTTTACAGATGAAGAAACCAGGGTGAGTGGAGTGGGGGGTCTTGGTCCCAAGTTAGTGCTGAGAGAAACGCAGTCCCCGTGGAGATAATTCTACTGTCTCTTCCCTCCCCTGTTTAAATTAGGGGGAGGAGATGATTTGGGGCAGCTTGAAAGGTAAGCCTCTGCCCTGTGAACAAGAATTGCTCTGGGCTCGTGACTCGGGGCCTCCCCACTGGCCCAGTAGCCCAGACAAGGTGCCTGGAGAAAAGGAAGTGGGAGATTGTGTGGTTTCCTGCCCCAACCTCAGCCCAGGGAAGCTCCTGTCAGAATCTTCTGACTGAGAATAGGAGGAAACGCCTTTCCTTGAAGGATCCCGGTACCTGACAAGCTCTGGCTTGCTGTGTGGCCTCAGGAAATACACTTGGCCTCTCTGAACCTCCCTGGCAGGCCATAGCCCATTGTATGCTTTTGAGGTCTGAGTGTTTTCAAGGAAAATAACCCGGGCTGTGTTTGCAGTCTTAACCTGAGGGCAGGTCCGTGGGTGGCTTAAGAGCCACCAGTGTTCGGGAGGTTGGATTGTGTTTGTCCTCATAGGTCCCTGTGCCCTGGGGTCAGGAAGGAAACTCAAGCTCCCAAGAGTTAGGGAACATTTCCAAGATCACCCTGGGCGCTTGAAAATGCCCCAGCCCTGTAATTAATATTAAGATTCCTAGGAGCGGGTACTTTGGAGCTAGACAGCCAGGTTTCAAACCCTACCACTCACGGCCTGTGTGATCTTGGACAAGTGACCTCACCTCAGTGCCTCAGTTTCCTCAGCTGTAAAATGGGCATAATAATAACCCGTCTTGTAGGGTCATGATGAGAATTAAAGTAGTTCATATATATCAAGAGCTCAGGACAGAGCCTAGCCTATTGTAAGGGCCTCACAAGTGTTAACTATGGTTTTTAGGCCTGGAGAGGCTTTCACTGAGGTGCTCATAGGCTGATATTGGGGACCCCATCCTCAACCCAGGCACCCCCTACTCCTACCCCAGAGCCCTCCATTTCTTCTAGAGCAGCGGTTCTCAACCTGTGGGTCATGACCCCTTTGGGAGGTCGAACGACCCTTTCACAGGGGTCGCCGGGTACTCGTATGTGGGCGTATCTGTATGTGGGCCTTGAGACGGATAGAGGAGTGGTGTCTCAGTTCCTAAGACCATCGAAAATATGTTTTCCGATGGTCTTAGGCAACCCCTGTGAAAGGTTGAGAACCGCTGTTCTAGAGAGTCAGGGTGGGAAGGGACCTTTGAAATCCTCACATGCCTCTTACTGGCAGGGACCAAGGGGTTTAGCCCAGGTCACCGAGAAGTCCTGACATGTTGCCATCCCTGGCGTTTTAGGTCTGATGCAGCCAGGCTGGGAGGCACCACTTGGAGACATCAGAGGTCACTAGGCTTGGAGTCAGATGGAATTCCCAGCCAGTTGCACTTGTGGCTTCTGGACCGCTGTCAGCTAGGAAGCCAACACCAGTGTGTTCACAGGCGCGGCTTGTTTGTAAACACTGAGAACGAGGTTTCAACACTCAGAGGACAACGTCATTTTTCCCCATCACAGCCCCTGACTCCTTTCCTTCATATTCTTGGGATCTAGTCTGATTTTCTTCCCCTGTGGTCTCAAAGGCTCTTCCAAGGTAGTTTCCACAAAAATCTTTCATGTCCTTGATCTTATCTGTCTGTCCCTTCTTTGCTTCTTTGCCCCCTTCCTTTCTTCTTTCTTTCCTTGTTCTGCCTGGTGGCTCAGTCTGCAGCACCATTGACAAGCCACAGCATGCAAAGTGCCCTCCCAGGTGACACGTACGATGCAGAGGAAAGGAAAGCTGGGTCTTGGTCTCAGGCAGTGGGTGGGTAATGGGAAAAAAACTACAAATAGGTTTTAGAAAGCAGTGGCTATGCAGATAGAGTTGCATATAATGTAAACAGCATGTGTTCATTTATTCATTCAACAAACATGTTTACTGAGTACCTACTATGTGCCTAAGCTAGCACTGTACTGGGAGAGAGCGGTGACCACAACCGATGAGGTCTTTGCACTCATGGACCTGACAGTGCTGTCCCGTAGAAATACAATATGGCTTGTCACATGAATAAAAAGACACACAGATGAGGTTAATTTTAAAACTTGTCTCATCAAACCCCGTCTATCCAAAATATTTTTTCAACGTGTAACAGTGTAACAAATTTAACTGGGATGTATTTATAATTGACATGTAACATTATATTAGTTTCAGATGTACAGCATAATGATTTGATATGTGTATATATTACAAAATATACACCACAGTAAGTTGAATGAATATTCACCTTACATAGTTTAAAAAAATGTTAATTAGATATTTTGCATTCTTTGTATTACGTCTTCTAAATCCAGTGACGTTTAACTCTTACTGCATGTTTCAGTTCAGACCAGCTGCATTTCAAGTGCTCAGCAGTCACATGTGGCTTGTGGCTACTCTATGGGATGGTGAAATTTTAGTGTGAAGAGAGAGGCTTTTTTTTTTTTTTTTTAAGTTTTTAAAATTTCAGCTTATGATAAGTACCAAGAAAATCAAACAGGTAGATATGAAAGAGACTCACCAGGGTGGGAGTCTACTAGATGAGGCAGTCAAAAAAGCCTCCCTGGGGAGGTGACATCTGAGCTGAGATTTGAGTGAAGTGTAGGTGCCAGCCACAAAGAGATTGGGGGAGGGACATTCTAGGCAGAAGCCATAACAAGTGCAAAGGCCCTGAGGTAGGTAAGAGCTTGGTGAGTTCAGGGAACACAAAGAAGATCAGTGTGGCTAGAGCAGGGTGAGTGAGGAATAGGGTTAGGAGATGAGGGGGTCTGATTATGCTGGACTTGGTGAACCAGCATAAGGAGTTTAAGGACTGTTAATACTGGGAGAAGGCAAAGAAAGTGATCAACCATGGGTGACTTCCGGGACCGGCCTTTTCAGTTGCTATGGAGTCAAGATAAAATCCCCCATGGTCAGCTCAGAGGCGAGCATCAGCTCTCTCGGCATCCACTTTATTTCACTGAGAGAAGAAGAAAAAGAACTGAGGGTTAAAGCCTGTATTCATCCCTGTTACTGCTATGACAAATTGCCACAAACCCACTGGCTCAAAACAACCAGATTTACGATCAGACTGGATAATATGATATTATGAATACTACCAATATGAATAATGCTAGATAAAATTCTAGAGGTCAGAGGTCAGAAATGGGTCAGGAGGGCTGTATGGCTTCTGGGTGCTCCATTTCCTGGTCCCTTCCAGCTTCAAAGCCAGCAGCATAACATCTTCAGATCTCTAACTCAGACCTCTGCTTCTGTTGCCACGTCATCTCTAACTCTGACCCTCTTGTCCCTCTCTTGTCACCGATAAGGATCCTATAAGGATCCTTCACCGACTCACATCGGCAAAGCCCCTTTTGCCATGAAGGTCGTATTCTCAGGTTTCATGGTTAGGAAGGGGACGTCTTTGGGGGGCTTTGTTCTGCCTACCCCAGCCAGTTACACTTGACTGGATTCTTGCTGGGGCCCCTTGTGCGCTCAGCCCGCGCCAGGCAGGAGCAGGGGGAAATGGCGGAGGGGCTGGAAGAGGCTGACTGCTCTCAGCTTGCGCCGGCCTGTGGCAAGGATGCATGCCCACTCCATCTTTGCACCACCGCTTCTGCCCTCTGGCACTGCCCTTCACCTTCCTTGGTGACCTTGAGCCAGCTGTGTGAATACTTCATCATTACCTTGTATTTCCCCAATCTATGAGCTTCCCAACAAAGGAGATGGGACTTAACAGCCTTATTTAGGGGCTGAACGGAGGCGATGCTGACATCTGGCCACCTGGGCCGGCTTGTGATGGGCTGCAGGAGGAACGGAAATCTGCACACACATCTTTAGCCTTTTCTAGGTTCTGGACACTATTCCAGACGATTTGCATATATTAATCATTTCATCCTCACGACCACCCTCAGAGGGAGATATTGTACTGTTTTTCCTCATTTCCAAGGCACCCAAAGATGGAAAAACTTGTCTAAGATCAGCTAGTAAGTGGCAGAAACAGGATCCAAACTCGGGTTAGCAAGCTCCAGTGTCCATGCTTTAGAACCAGCATTCCATGCAGGCCCCAGCGATAACGCCCAACTTAGCTCATGGTTTTACAGAATACCTCTTTTTTTTTGGTAACAGCTTTATTGACTATAATTTGCATACCACACAATTCACCCATGTAAAGCCTACAGCTCAGTGTTTTTAGTCTATTCACAGAGTTGTGCCACCATCACCACAGTCAATTTTAGGACATTTTCATTACTCAGAAAAGAAAACCCATACCTGTTAGTAGTCGCTCCTCATTTAACCTGTCACTCTCCAGCCCTAGATAGCTGCCACCTTCCTTTCTGTCTCTATGGATTTGCCTATTCCAGACATTTCGCTTTAGTGGGATCATACACTGTGTGTCCTTCTGTGTCTGGCTGCTTTCGCTTAGTAAGATGTTTTCAAGGTGCATCCATGCTTAGCGAGCGTCAGTGCTTCGTTCTGTTTTTGTCTGAATAATATCCTGTTGTAGAGATGAATTGGCCAGTCATCCGTTGACAAGACATCGGGTTGTTTCTGTCTTTTGTGAATCATGCTGCTGTGAACCTTCACATACATGTTTTTGTGTGGACTTGTTTTCGTTTTTCTTGGGCAGCTCCTAGGGGTAGAATTGCTAGGTCAGATGGTAACTGTAGTTACCTTTCTGAGGAGCTGCCAGGCTGTCCTCCAGCTGCTGCACCATTTTACATCCTCGCCAGCAATGCACGAGGGTTCTGATTTCTTCATATCCATGCCAACACTTGTTATCTGTTTCTTTCATTATAGCCGTCCACAAAATTATTTTAATAATTAAAGTTTAATTATCCTCACACCAATCCTGTTGACCTGGATATTAGGGCTCCCCAGCTGAGGGAAACTGAGACCGCGTGAAATGGTGCCCGTATCAGACGTATGAGGAACTCTGGGCTGGGTGGCAATCCTCAGGGCCTTTGCAGCCTCTTTCTCTCTTGGAGAGAGGTTTGTCCTGACTGAGGGTCTGTCCGAAGATCAGGGATGTGACCTCCCCAGAGAGGTTGGGCATATGTTAGGATACCCGTAGCCTGCTCGTCCCCTCTCTCTTCTGTCTAGTGAACAGGTGCAGTGCCATCTCTGTGGTTGTCCTTGGGGGCAGTTCTAACCTAACGGAGGAAAGGCGAGGCTCCTATCACTTGTAAAGTTGCTCTGTGGGCTAGTGGTGGCCTTGTCCGCTTACCTGCCTGATGCCTGGTTCTCATGGGCACAGGGTAGACCCAAAGCCCTGGCATCCCCGAGCTGTTCCCAAGGGTCTGGGGATGAGGCTGCTGCCGGGCAGGCTGTAACCCCACACCGGCCCGTCGCCTCGGCAGGAGCTGGAGCTGGTGGAGGACGTGTGGCGAGGGGAAGCACAGGACCTGCTTTCCCAGATCGCCCAGCTGCAGGAGGAGAACAAGCAGCTCATGACCAACCTCTCCCACAAGGATGTCAGTTTCTCCGAGGAAGAGTTCCAGAAGCATGAAGGTAAGAGGAGAGGTCCACTTGGGGGGTGGGGGTGGGGAGAAGGCTGTTCCCACCGTTATCAATAGTGGGGTGCTTTCTAATCTCCCAAGCCTTTGTCTCTTTTTGTCACCCGTCACTCTGCCTGAGGGAAATTGTTTAGCCTAATTTATAGATAATGGAATTATCTGTAAATGGGGATACACATTGTTCATGGGGATACACATTGGCTAAGACAAAGCCCCGGTCTTCAAGAAGCTGTTCTAGTGTGGAGGACATAGGTGATAAACATGTAAACAAATTAATGGAGAACACCGTTCCAAATGGTCACGGGTGCTATGGAAGAGCTAAACCAGAGGGATAGACTTGTAGAAATAATGGTGATCAGGGAAGGCCTCTCTGATGAGGTAACATTTGAGCCCTAATAGAGTGATGGAGTGAGCCATGCAGATATCTTGGGAGGGAAGCAAGTGCAAAGACCCTGGGGCATGAGAATCTTCACCCTGGGCCCTCTGCTGGTGGTGCTGGGGAAGCAGAGACAGACAGTGGGGTTTGGTCTGGGCCTCATGAGCTGCGTCCGCTCTGTACCCCTCACGGCCTCCTTCCCAATCACAGGCTGCCTCTGATCCTCAGGGAACCTCAGACCCATCTCTTTAGTGTGACTAAGCACCTTGGGCCCCCACACAAGCCCCCTCCTCATGTTTGATGGGATGGAGAATGCACTTTCGTGGGGTGCCTGAAGCTCAGAACTTGGGAGTTACAACTCTGTGAGACTGAAGTAGCACCCTGAGAAGGACTGCAGGGACCAAGAAAATAGATATTAATGTTGGGTCCTAGAATTCTCTTTTTCTTGGGTTTCTTTTGTTGAGATGTGATTTGTGCAATGAAAGCAAAAAGTTTTGGTGGTTATAAGCATGGGCTCTAGAGCCAGACTACTTGGGTGTGAGTTCTAACCCCAACACTTACCTACTAAGTAACCTTGATTGAGTCAATTGACCTTTGTGTGCCTAAGTGCCCCATGTAAAAAATGAGGGGAGTAACTGTATCTTCCTTATAAGGTTGTCGTGAGAATTAAATGAATTAATACACGTAGACTGTTTGGAGTAAGAATGGTTCCTGGTACTCGTACACTCTGCAAGTGTGAACTATTGTTGCTGCGAGTTATTTTTACTTAGTCCAACTTCCTTATTGAGCTGCTGGGGGAAAAAAGGTTGAGAGAGTACGTCGTTCCTTCTTTTGGCTTGATGACACTCCATTGTATGGCTAGACCACATTTTGCTTATCCATTCTTCCATTGATGGACTTTTGGGTTGTTGCCAGCTTTCTGCGCTTGTGAACAGTGCTGTTATGAATATTCCAATACAGGTGCTTGTGTGGATGGGTGTTTTCTGTGCTCTGTTGTCTATACCTGGGAGTGGAGTTGCAGGGTCATCTGGTAACTGTGTTTGTTGGGCTTATTGAGGACCCCTAGCCATCTTTTTGTCTGTGACATTCCTGCAGGACGCCCCAGGCCTCTGGGGGTGACCTGGGAACTCCCCCTGCCTATCCCAGTGACGCCCCAGAGGCCTTGGGACCCCAGGCATGGACCCAAACCCTCTGGGCCGCTCCCTCGCACACCTGTGGGCACGCAGCACCCTCCGTGTGTGGAGCTTTGCTCAGCTTTCTAGATCTTTGCCCAGCTCATCATGAAACAGCCCACATGGCACCATTTGAGATGCACTGAATTGGCATCTATTATAGCATGGCTTCAGATCCCAAAGGGTTAGCTCGTGGAGGCTCGTTTTCCGCTCGGCAGCAACCCCCACCGGGTAGAGAGACCGGGCACATGCCAGGCGTGCCTTTCATGGTTATTTTTATTTTGCACGGGAAACCATGGGAACACAAGGACAAAAGCATTTCTTCCACCTGCGAGAGGAACAGACATTGGGCAGAGGGGTCCCTGGGCGAAGGTGGAGCCTGCGGAGTTAGACTGTGTCTAGGGAAGACAGGATTTAGGGGTGCCGTCGTGAGGTGGGGTGAGAGGGGTGGGAGAGCCTGCTGAGAGCAGCTGGCGTTGCATGGAGCTGTATTGCTTTTTCAGCAGTTAATGCCAGGTGCTGCGCTCACAGCCACCTTGGCAGTGTCCTGTCACCCACTCCCTGAATCCTCCAGATTAAAAAGCGCTTCCCTGCCCCTTGTTTTCGGAAATCCGTCTTGTCAGCTGGAGGGCAATTATAGAAACTACTTGTTAGCACATGTGGAAATGAATTACAGGTGTCAAAGCTATTGGCTTGGGGAGATGGGGTGGCAAAGGTTCACTCAAAGGTCTGGAAAAATTCTTGGGCTCTGAACAGAGAGCTCCATCACCAAGAGAGGAGGAAAACTGAGCTGGGACTTGACCTACTGGTCCCATCCTCAGGTTCCTCACCTGCAAAACGGGAATTGACAACTCCTGACTGCCAGGATTGTTGAGACCAAGTATATACAGCATCAAACATGGAGCTGCCCAATAAAAGGTGTCCCCAAGGGCAGTTGTGTGTGGAACCTTACGGGGGAGCCAAGAGTAGTTGGTAGGAATTTCAGCTCAATAAAACTCCAGCTGTGCACCCTTACGTAAAAAGGAAAGAACATACGTTTTTTCAGTGATTTTTAGTAAATGTATTGAGTTGTACAACCATCATGGCAATCTAATTTAAAAATATTCCCATCACCCCAAGAAGAAACCTTGTGCCTATTTGCAGTCACCCCCACTCCCACCCCTTGTCCCCAGGCCACTGTCAGCCTGCTTCCTGTCTCTATGGATCTGCCTGTTGTGGACGTTGCGTATAAATGGAATCCTACCGGATGTGACCTTGGTGACTGGCGTCTTTCCCTTGGCATCTTATTTTCAAGGTTTTTTATCACCTTGTAGTGTGTCAGTACTCATTTCTTTCTATGGCCGAGAGATATTCCATCAGATGGACAGACCACATTTTGTTTATCTGTGCATCAGCTGGTGGACATTTTGGCTTTTTTGTTTCCACAATGTTTGGCCGTTGTGAATAGTGCTGCTGTGATTTTGTCACTTGCCTTTTTCACTTAACGGTATATCTCAGTCTTAGCTGGCTACATAGTTTCCCATGGGTGGAAGGTCCTTGTTTACTATTTCCTTGCTGGTGGACATTTAAATTATTGCTGCTTTTTGCTACTATAAATGCGGCTCCTGGGAGACCGTCCTTGGACTTGCTTGTGTACTTGCCCGAATGTCTCTTTAAATCTAGATCTCAGGATCCTGAATTGCTGGTGACTAAATAATTGCTGAGAAATCTTCCAGCTTTTAACAGTGCCTGTGAGTCTATTAAAGACACTCCCCGCCCCTTAATTATTCAAGGCGCTCTTGTAGCCACTCTTGGACTTGATCTTAGCTGCAGCCTTTGGAGCAGGTATTTCTGTTTTACGGGTAAAATGACAGCTAACACTTGGAGACTTACCTCTGTGCCAGGCCTATTGTGAGCACGTCTCACAGATTAACCTGCGTGGCCTCACAGGAGTCCCTCAGGTGGGGACTCCACAGGATTCCCATTTGCAAGCGAGAAAACGGGTTGAGGTCAACAGCAGGTAAGTGGCAAAGCCAGGACTGAGTCCCAGACACCTCGCTTCAGACCCCAAGCCCTTGACCATTTTGTTCTCTGCCTCTCGGACACCTGTGAAGGTGGATGATGTCGCTGGGGTACAGAGCTGGGTTTCCTTTCTCTGATTCATGCTCCTCCTGCCCGCCCCCCACACACACCCCCACCAAGGATCATATGAGCTGGGCCCTTAGTGCCCGCCCACTAAGGGTAGGACAGGTGCCCCGAGAGCAAACAGTGAACATTTTTGTAGCTTTTCACAGACTCTGCCCACACCTGATTTCAGCCCCCCTGCATGCATGCACACACCGTGTCTGAGAAACACTTTCTGGGGAGATGCAGTGTCCTCTTGTCCCGCCAGCCGAGGCCCAGGCCCTGCCTTGCAGCAGTGGCCCAGGGGTGTTGGCAATGCTCGTTCATGGTGGTGACCGCCTGCTTGGGGATACCCAGGACAGGAGCTAGAGGCCAGTGGAAAAGACCCAGATGGGACAGAGCAACTCGGAGGGGGAGTCACACGTAGGGAGAAAATAGCTGAGGAATCGCCCACATAGCTTCTCGGGGGCCTGGTTGATCCGTCCAGTTTCCTGAGACCCAGGGGAGAGGGAAATGGGGACCGTTTCTCCTTTGTTAATCTGTGTTTGAGCCCAGGTCTCCTGAGGAACAGGGGTTAGCTGTCAGCCCCAATGTAAAAGGCTGAAAAATCTCTCCCACTCCCCAAAAAAAACTATCAGGTCTTAATCCTTGGGCACTGTGGATGTTACCTTATATGGTAAGATCTTTACAAATGTGATTTAGTTCGAGATCTTGAGATGGGGAAGTTGTCCTGGATTATTTGGGTGGACTCCAAATGCCATCACAAGTGTCCTTAGAAGAGGGAGGCAGAGAGATTT